GCCACTCCCTGAAGGAGGAGTGGGATGAAGGGAAGCATCAGTGGAAGGCGCTGCTGATTGTGCACGAGTGTGAGCAAGTGCGGATGCTGGTGCTGATGCTGCTGATGTGGGCTGAAGAACAGGGAACAGAGGTGCTTGCTCTGATGCTGCCAGGGCAGCAGGTGAAGAATCGGGTTTGACTGAGAGGGCGAACTCGAGCGGGCTGGAAGAAGCCGAAGGGGATAATATACCGGAATTCCCCAATTGACGGTGACCACTTTCAGGAGTTACCTGACTCCAGGCTTGCGCAGGAGCAAGAGCAGGAGCAGGAGCAGGAGCAGATGTAGGTGCAGCTGCAGGGGAAATACCAGAGGCTTTGGTAGCAGCAGAGCCGCAAGTTTCGTTCTCGAATGCAGCAGAGGAATGAGCAGGGGAGGGGGAGGGATCGCTGAAAATGAGCACACGAGCCGATGAGAGGGACGCGGGTGTGTGCTTTTGCTGAGGGTCGGTTGCTAGAAGGATTGGGGAGGAGGAGGATGGGGGAGTGGTGGAAGGAGAGGGGGAAAAGAATGGGTCTGAAGCAGGCTGGGGTGGGATGCGAGGGGGTGCTGAGAGAGAGGATTGGGATTGGAAGGAGTGGGGTGCGGTGGAGAATGGAGGGCCAGAAAGGGCTGGTGTAGGAGTGGGAGTAGGAGTGCGGGGGTACGGTTGGGAAAGGTGTGAGGCGGGCGGAAAGGAGAAATTGACAGGTGGGGTTTCAGGTGGAGCGGTTGAGCGTTCAGGTGAAATTTCAGGTGGTGCAGCAGAAGACGCATGCAGAGCAACAGGCGGAGAGGGAGAGGGGTGAACGGAGGAGGATAAGCGAGATGCACCGGGGTAAGGTGCGATGGTGGTGTTGGTGGTGTGATAAATAGGCGGAGGGTAAGGCGACACAGTGTTTGTCTGATGGACAGATTGTGCAGGTATGGTGCTGTTGGTGTTGTTCACCGTGTTGGCTTGATAAATAGACTGTGGGAGGGTGTTGTTGCTGTGATGATGACTGAAGTGGGAAGGCGTGGTGGCAGGAGGATGGGAAACAGGGACAGACATTTGAGGCGCCTCAAAAGTCGTGCTGGGGTGATGGTAATTAGGCTGTGGTGAGATTGTGGTGTTGCTGTTCGGATAAAAAGGAGTGTTGTGCTGTGGTGCAGTGGCGGTATTGCTGTTTTGATGATACGACTGTGGACTCGTGGACGCAGGAGGCAGGGAAATGGGGACAGAAAACCCGGGGGCAGATGTTCCCTGGGTGGGGTAGGATGAGAGAAAGGCCTGGTTGGATGCATGAATGTGCGTAGAGAGAGGTGTGGGAAGAGAGGCGGGTGCGGGAGAAGCAGGTGCAGTTCGGTTGAGAGCGGTGCTAGGAAGGTGGGGTGGTTGAAGAGGATTCTGCTGGTGTTGGTGGTGGGAAGCAGTTGAGTAGTTGTGAACCGGTTCCCCTGAAGGTGGTGCAAGGCAGGCTGTTTCATAGCTACTGAGAGCATATGAAGGGGCAGGGCTGGGAGAGAAAACCCCGTTTTTGTCACAGTTGCTGCTGCTGTTGCTGTGACTGTAACGAGAGTTGTGGGGATCCGGATGAGGATGCTTGGAGGAAAAGCTTCGGGCAGCAATGGGGTGTGGCTGGAGGTGGGCAGGGAGAGAGGATAGGCTCTTGCTGCGTGCGGTGCTGGGAAGGTGAGGTGCGGGAGGCAGGCGTGATGCGTGAGGAGATGCTGTGATGGGTGCATGGGGATCTGTACCATGTGGTGTTTTGGGTGCATGCATGTGCATGGTGCTGGGAAGGTGGGATGCAGGAGGCAGGGGTGATGCGTGGGGAGATGCTGTGATGGGTGCATGGGGATCTGTACCATGTGGTGTTCTGGGCGCATGAACATGTGCATGCATGTCCATGGTGCTGGGAAGGTGGGGTGCGGTAGGCAGGGGTGATGCGTGAGAAAATGCTGTTATGGGTGCAGGTGCTGTTCCCATGCGGCCATGCATGCTCTGCATGCCACCATGCGTGTTTTGCATGCCACCATGCATGCCTTGCATGCCACCCTGACGAGAAGAGTTATGACTCTCATGCACAGCGCCACATGACCCATGAACAGTATTCGCCAGCATGCTTCCATCCATGCTTTCAGCCATGCTCCCAGATGCCATGCTCCCAGGTGGCATGCTCCCAGGTGCCATGCTCCCAGGTGCCATGCTCCCAGGTGCCATGCTGCCAAGTGGCATGCTCCCAGGTGGCATGCTGCCAGGTGGCATGCTGCCAGGTGGCATGCCATGAGCCACAGTGTGATTAGCCCCTCCGCTACAGCAGCTGCAGCGAGGAACGGAAATTCCAGAAGCACCCTGATTCTCTACTGCCTGAACGTTTGCAGAAGCTGTAGCAGCATATGTTGCGGCAGCTGTAGCAGCAGCTGTAGCGGCACCTGTAGCAGCAGGAGCAGATGTAGCAGCAGCTGTAGCAGGAAAATAACCCTGCTGCTGCTGGCTATTCAATGAAGAGGGCCCAATCGTGCCTCTGGCTACAGCTGTGGCTGTGGCTGCTGAAACTTGTGTTTCACGAGCCACAGCCCCTATAGCAGTTGCGGCAGCAGCTGTAGCAGCAGCGCCAGCTGTAGAATCTGTAGCGGGTGTAGCAGATGTGGCAGCAGCAGCAGGTACGGTATGGCTGGTGGGATTTGAGTGCGAACACTCGGAGGGTGTACAGGTGCATGGCAGCGATTGGCCAGAATGGCTTGACTGGTGGTATCCGTAACCCTGTGATTGCCCCTGTCCCTGCTGCTGCTGCTGGTATTGCTGCTGCTGCTGCTGCTGCTGCTGCTGCTGCTGCTGCTGCTGCTGCTGCTGCTGCTGCTGCTGCTGCTGCTGCAACTGGTACTGCTCCTGCTGTTGTGCCTGCTGGTGCGTCTGCAGCTGCTGTTGTGCCTGCTGCTGCTGGCCCTGTTGTTGCTGCGACTGATACTGCTGGTACTGTTGCTGCGGAGTATGCTGCTGTTGCTGCTGCTGCTGGTGTGGCTGATGCTGCTGCTGCTGCTGATGATAAAGTTGCTCTTGTTGATTATGCTGCTGTTGCTGCAGCTGCTGGTGTGGCTGATGCTGCTGCTGCTGCTGCTGCTGATAAGGTTTCTCGTGTTGATTATGCTGCTGTTGCTGCGGCTGCTGTTGCTGCTGCTGCTGCTGCTGCTGCTGCTGCTGCTGCTGCTGCTGCTGCTGCTGCTGCTGCTGCTGCTGCTGCTGCTGCTGCTGCTGGTTTTGCTGATACTGCCTCTGCTGCTGCTGGCTCTGCTGCTGCTGCTGCTGCTGCTGCTGCTGCTGCTGCTGGTTCTGCTGGTAGTGGCTCTGCTGCCGCTCGCCCTGCTGCGGCTGCTGCTGGCTCTGAGGCTGATACTGGCTCTGCTGCTGCTGGTTTGGCTGATACTGCCTCTGCTGTTGCTGGCTTTGCTGCTGCTGGCTTTGCTGTTGCTGCTCCATGTGCCCTTGCCTCTGCTTCCCATGCTCCTGCCGCTGCTGCTGCTCCTGCTGCATTTGCTGTTGCTGCTGCTGCTGCAGTTGCTGATGTTGTTCATTTCGCTCTCGCAGGTACATGGGTTGGCAGCACTGGCACTGCGGCTCCACACATGCGCTCTCCTGCTGCTCATGCTTCCCTTCTGTTTGTTGCTGTGAGTGGATTGGGTTGCTCTGATGCTGCGGCTGCGGCTGCTGCTGCTGCTGTTGCTGCTGATGCTGAGATTGCTGCTGTTGTTCTTGCTGCTGGTGTCTATGCCACTGGTTATTCTGTTGCTGCTGCAGATACTGCTGATATTGCTGCTGCTGCTCCTGCTGATACTGCTGCTGCTGTTGCTGCTGATATTGCTGCTGCTGTTGCTGTTGATACTGTTGCTGCTGATGTTGCTGCTGCTGTTGCTGTTGATACTGTTGCTGCTGCTGTTGCTGTTCCTGGGATTGGCTCTGTTGTTGTTGTTGTTGTTGTTGCTGCTGCTGCTGCTGAAACTGCTGCTGCTGTTGCTGCTGATACTGCTGCATCTGCTGCTGCTGCTGCTGCTGCTGCTGAAACTGCTGCTGCTGCTGATGATACTGCTGCTGCTGCTGACACTGTTGCAGCTGTTGCTGCTGCTGGTCCTGTTGTTTCTGCCACTGCTGCGGCTGCCTCTGACCTGCTTCGTGCTGCACCCCACCTTGCTGCACCCCACCTTGCTGCACCCCACCTTGCTGCATCCCACCTTGCTGCACCCCACCTTGCTGCACCACACTGTGCTGCATCAATCCCTGCTGCACCACTCCTTGCTGAAAGTAAACCGAATCCTGAGGCGCCATCGGTGCCTCCACCCCATCCAACCATCCCTCACCGTTTTTGAGTGCCTCCACAATTGCAGCGTTAGGGCGGAAGTGGGCAGTCCTGATTCCTGCCGCTCTCACTCCTCCTCTCACCCCCTCCTTACTCCCAGAGCCCGTCAGAGGATTCTCTAACGTCTCTAGCGTCTGAGTCTCAAAAGGCACTGACGCTGGCAAGCTATTGCCTCTCACCCCTTCGTTCCCAGCAGAATAGGTTGGCTTCTCAGGTGTCTGAAGGGTTAGTGTCGCTCCGACCTGGTTAACCCCTCCTCCTCCTCCCCTCTGCCCGGAACAAGTCAGCCCTTTAAAGTCACTGCTCAGGCCGTCACAATCCGTTACAGTGCCACCCGTGTTCGTTACAGTGGCGCCTGTATCAGTAACAGCTGTTACTGTAGGCACGGTTCCTGTGGTTTCTGTGCCTGTCTCCGTTACTGAGTCACTCACTAACCGCCACCCAGAAAAAGCCTGCTCGGCCGGGTACGGCAGGTCCGAACCAAACCTTTCCCATTCCTGACCATCAGGCATGGGCAACAGGCACAGCTCGTCCTCCCCATCAACCTCCTGGTTTGGAAGGATACCGAACCTGAGGTCCTCAATCCCGAGCCTGTGATTTTCGGCCCCGAACCTGGGATCGCCGAGGCTGGTAGTACCCTGGGCGAGGCCACTTATCCCCATTCCTCCTCCTCCCCCTTCTCCTCCTCCTCCTCCTGCAACTCCTCCTCCTCCTCCTCCTCCTCCTCCTCCTCCTCCTCCTCCTCCTCCTCCTCCTCCTCCTCCTCCTCCTCCAACTCCTCCTCCCTCTCCTCCAGCAGTATTGGTAACCTTTTCTTCCTTAATACTGCCAACCTCCTCTGCTGCATTCTCTGTTTCCTGGTGCAATTCTGTGAAGCGCCATTCAGGTCGTTCAACACCTGAAAAAACACCTGAATCACCACCTGACCGAGGACCTGAAGGAACACCTGTGGCAACACCTGAAGGGGCACCAGAAGCAGCACCTGGAACAGCACCTGAAGAACCACCTGAAGCATCACCAGCAGGGGAGGTCAGCAAGGGCGTTCGCATGGCAGGTGCGGGTCGCATGGGCGTTTGCATTGGTGCAGCACGTGGCATGTTCAGCGAGTGGGAGGGATAGCTCGTGAGGCTAGGATGATCGTGGGTGTGGTAAGGTTGCAGCATTGCAGGCTGTGAGTGTGGCTCAGTGTGTGACTGAGTGTATGAGTGAGTCTGTGAGTGAGTGTGTGACTGAGTGTGTGAGTGACTCTGTGAGTGAGTGTGTGACTGGGAGTGAGGCTGAGGGAGTGACAGCGTGCAGGGCTGAGTGCGTGTGTCATCAAATGCACGGGCTTGCGCATGCATGTGCACATGATTCTGAGGTGCCTCAGAAACAGAAGTATGAGTGTGTGCCTGCATGTTCACGTGGGTGTGGTGGCACAGGCAAGCAGGCGCCTGTGCAAGGCCACGTGGCGTTTGATCCATACCATGTGGCGCGGATACCATGCCACGTGGCACATCATCCACGTTATGAGACCCTGATGCCATGCCAGGTGTCGTCGTTCGCTCAGTCCCATATAATACCCCAGAGTTCCCGCCACCGCCCTGCTGCATACAGTGAGGCGATTTAGGAGTGAGATGTTCAAACGCACATTGCACCGTGCCCACCAACCCTTCAAAGTTTCGCCCTGCTTCCTGCGTCCGTCGATCCACCTCCATCCTCTCTGCTCCACCTGCCCCACCCCCCATGCCATCTATGCCATTCCTGCCCCCTATGCCATCGCCCATCTCCTCTCCCACACTCTGCCTGCTGCTTCGGCCACCACTGCTGCTACTGCTGCTGCTGCTCCCCCCATCCCCTCTACAGGCGTCCCCCTTACACGCAGTCCTAGGAGGTGCCGGCGGCTCTGAGTGTGTACGTGCCATCCCTGCTGTAAGCACACTCGGTACAGCTACAGGAGGAGGAGTGACGCTTAGTGCAACCACACACGAACTGGTGGTTACAGGGTTACCAGCAAACGCACTTGGTGCACTCACGAACTCCCTAGCAGGTCCTGTAAGGGTACTGTTTATCCCCCTTATAGCACCAGCGTTTGGGGAATTACCCCCCAGTTCCTGTGGCAATACTGTCCAAGTGTCCCTTGGTAGTACAGTGGCCATGGTACCCCTCTCTGTTTGCATCACCGAACCCTTATAAGCTGACTCGGTAAAAGCAGGAACTTGCTCGACCTTCACTTGGGGTTGTACAGGGGACGTGTTGCTTCCTATGAAGGGGGGCTGGCATTGCATGGGCGAGACTCCCTGGTTTATCGAGAGAGCTTGTAAAGGGGATGTAACCAACTCTTTCCTGTCCACCTGCTGCCCCGCGTTCCCTCCAACCCCTCCCTTATCCGCACTCACAGCACCCCCTCCCACTGCACCCATTTTTATCTCCCCATTCCCCCAATTTCCCCCATTCGCCCCACCTCCCCCAACTCCCCCCATTGCCCCAATACCCTCAAGAGCTCCACTTCCCCCGCTTCCCCCGCTGCTTCCTCCGCCTCCCCCGGTTCCCCCGCTCCCCAGCGCCCCCTGATTAGCGCCAACGCCCCTGGCCCAGTTCCCCATCGCCCCGCCATACTTATCCACCATGGTGGTAACCACCTTCCCCATCACCACGTGGAGAAGCGGCGCCTGTGGCGGGGCCTGTCGCAGCATTGGGAGCTGCCCGTTTGCCAGCCCGTTCTCCTGCCCGTTCGCCTGCCCGTTTCCCTGCCCGTTTCCTTGCCCGTTTCCCGGTTCCGTCATCTGGTCTTTTCCTTGCGCGCTGCGCGTTCCGCCTGTACCGTCCGCCACGGCCGCATATTTCGCGCCTTCCCGACCCGCCGACTTCTCGCTCCCGCCCCCCTCGTTTTGAGATGCCTCTAAACCAATGTCACCATCCCTGACCGTTCTCAGCCGTTCACTCAACGTATCGCCATTCGCTGCTCGATCCTCGCCGTTCCCTGTCGCGGTTTCGCTCTTCAGCCCTGGCGGCTTCCCCTCCTCTCCGCCAGCATCCGCCATCGCCTCCGCATACGCGCGCGCCGCCGCCGCATCCTGCGCCGCCTTTGCCGCCGCTTTCAGCGTTCTCACCAGATCGCGAACTTCGCTCGCCAGCTCTCTGTGCTGCTCCATATTAAGCTTCGCCTTGTTTCCCCGAATCGCCATCGCTGCCACGTCATATGCCAGCGCCGCCGTTTCCGCTGTGGGGAACGTGCCCAGCCACAGGCGCGCGCTGTTGGCGGTGTCGCGAATCTCCGCCGCCCATTTTCCCCATGGGCGCAGCCGCACCCCGCGGTAATGGGGAGAATTGGCGGGTTCTTTCAACCCCCCCTGCTGCGAAGGGTTGCGCGGACTTGCGCCAACAGTCCCCCCCCACCCGCCGTCGGGAGTCGGCGCTGGGGAAGGTTGTGGGGAGGGGAACGGGGCAGCGGGGGGCGGAAGGGACAGCGGCGGAAGCGGATCGTGCGCCCGTGCAGCTTGAGGGCTGGGGGCGGTGCTGGTGAGGGGAAGCGACAATCCAAGGGGGGAGTTTGAAGGTCGTGAATGGAAAGGTGGCGCGCCGTTATTCGGGGTTCCCGGGGGGACTGGGAGGGCGTGAGCGCCAGAAACCGGCGCAAGCGCTGGGGAAGATCGGCGGGAGAAGCGCAGAGGGGAGTTGAGGCGGAGGGGGGAGGGGAGGCGGAGCGGAGAGGGAAGGCGGAGCGGAGAGGCGGAGGAAGAGGATGGGGAGGCGACATAAGTTGACGCGACGGCTGTTGGAGTCGGAACAGATAGTACCGGGGATGGAGCACCCGAGGGCGGTGCACCCGAGGACGGTATACCCGAGGACAATGCTACAGCGGGTACGCCCGGCGAAACATCCCCAACGGCGCGCTTCTTCCAGCAAGGACCATCTGAGCCGTCCGATCCCCCTCCCTCTTGATAGCTTAGTCCCTGCATACTCAAATCCAGCCGCGTGTGAACTCGCCGCGTGTCATCTCCCGTGTCATCTCGCCTCGTGTCATCTCGCCCAAGCTGGCGTTTCGCTGCAGAGCCCTGCGACCAAGCGGACGGTGACAGGCCCAGCGGTAGGCGCAGCAGCGGCATGCTGTCGGGCGGCTTCTTGCTCGTCACGCGCGGGGGCGCGGAGAGGCTCGCGCGGAGCGCATACGACGGACTGGCCGGGTTGGCCTCACGCGGCGGGGTCGACGCACCGATAGCGTCGGGCGCTCCTGCTGCTTCTCCCGCTGCCATTCCCGCTGCGTCCTCCGCGGCCGTTCCTGCTGCTTCCGCGGCTCTGCTTGCGCCTGTTGCTTCCTCTCCGCAGCAGGTCGCGGGAGCCACGAAGCTTCCGCCATTCGATAAGCCAGGACGAGCGGAAGCCTTCGCAAGGTCTTCACCTTCTGCAGCCATTACTGCAGACAGACACGTTCTGGCGGACGCCGAACCTCCAGCGCTATCCTGATGCGCAGATAGACAAGAGATGGCGACCGCGACATGGCTGCTGGTGGAACTCGGTTGTCCGCGGCTGGTCAGCACGTTAGCGTCAGTCGGCGCGTGAGACGGTTCTTTCAAACACGCCGGCGCTTCACTAAGAGCAGATCCGCTAATGCATCTGGGTTCGTCATAACGAAAGGACGGCGGCGGGCTATGGTAACTACTAGTTTGCGCGCAGTTAGCAGCGTCGGGCTGGGGGTTGACTCGCTTTCGCTTCGTGAGCAGATCGGATAGCGACGGCTCGTCAGGAGGACCGACGGCCGCTATCTCCTCCTTGGTTTCGGCGTGACGAGTTTGGGTGCCGCTAGATTTCCCTGACGAAACTCCTGGCAGCTGCGGGAGCTGCAGCGGAGACATTGGGCCGAACCATGAGCTCGCTTGATTCCAGAACCACTAGCTGTTTTCACGTGTCCCTTCGGTTCCTTCAGTCAACGCGATGAAGCTTCGCCTCGTGTACCACGGTGCCGTGCTGTTCTATGTCTAGTGGATGTGCTTCCGCAAGTGCAGTACAGCTTGACGAGCTATTCCTAGCTTCCTCTTCGTAACCAGGGCTTCCTAGGCTAACACGACCAGAAAAAATATTGCCGAGTTCCTGACGCACTGATCAGTCAGTGAGCTTGTGCAGACGCATGGTCGAAATGACATTTCCAACGTTCGAAGGGCGAATTGCGGCGCGGGATGGCCTCGATTTTCCCATTGAAGAAATCGGGGTTTGGTTGGCGGGAATGTAAAATTCGATTTCAAGATTTTGCCTTCGTCGCAGACTCTCCTGGCGAGCGTTTAGATCTGCATGCAATCACATGGGAGGGCGATGGTGCTCGGATGGCAGGAATGGTAGTGGTGGTTGGCTCGCAAAGCTCGCAATTGTCGTTCGTTTTGTCGATGATCAGCCGGCAAGTGCATCGCGTGCTGTCGTCTGCCCCGGGCAATTTCGGTTGGCCGAAGTTCACCGTAAAAAAAACTGAACGACTGTTTGGGTGGGGTTTGAACGACGTGACCACTGCACTGTAGCTGGGGATGCGACGCACGACACTGCAACTTCGAGACCTTGTTTGCAAATTAGCGGGCGCATGCGATTTGGCGAGGCAATGCGACTATTCAGGGGCGAATTCGGGGCTGGGAAAGTGCTCCGATTGGTCGACGGGAAGCAGGGGCGCAACTGCAAACGCGAAGCTCCGGGCCGCATTCACCAAATCTCGAGACCTGTAAAAATGCCCTCGCTTCGGCCCTTGGCAGACCTGGGGAAAGGGGAACTGGGTTGGGGCTGGGACCGCAGCTGCAAAATCGAACCAAGGTGCCTTGCTTTTGTCGAGTCGCATACTAGGTATGGGTGGGTCTTGACAAATTTTGAACCTCGATTAGACATTCCAGAGGGCCAGTGTAGGCCCTCTTCCCATCAGGCTTACTGATCTTTCTTTTTATCCATATTCCACCCACATAGTAAATCCCAAGTGGGTGTTGCTTGGGCTGCATTAACATCCCATTCCTTCTCATTTCATATTAACACTGGAAAAACTTTTTGTTATATATTATTGTCAGAATCCCAACCACTAGACCATTGGGATAAAAGAGCTTGTTAAGTAGTGGGTCAGTGCGCCCATAACCCCCAGGACAACGAGCCTGTAACCCTTTCCCTAGGATCAATCGAGGATCACCATTGGACCTCTGACACCCCCCCGCACTGGGATGCCCGAAGTGCACACACTGGGATTCAAACCCAAGATCTTCGCTCTGATACCATGTCAGAATCCCAACCACTAGACCATTGGGATAAAAGGGCTTGTTAAGTAGCGGGTCAGTGCGCCCATAATCCCCCAAGACAACGAGCCTGTAACCCTTCTGTAGAATCAATCGGGGATCACCAGTGGACCTCTGACAATTATAATATGTTCTTTCAACAAGCCTTCTTGTCCTAAGTGTCCGCGTTACACCACCAACTGAATCTTCCGTTTCCCCTTCCACATACCCCTCTTTCACCTTCCCCCATTTTTCCTCATTTATACCTAGGGCCTTCTCCCCCGATTCTCACCCATTTTATGGATCCACGAGTTTCCAACTTTTATATAAGGTCCATATGTTGATGCCTATTGTAGGTCCACACAAACTCATTTAAATATCTAATGCGTGCTAGTATAATCTTTAACTGACCCAAGCTAACGCCAAGTAGGCAGCTTGAGAGCCCAAAATGATGCAAGAATTGGCTCGAAACGCCAGTGCAGATCATCGAACCACATGTCTTGTGTACAGTAATGAATACACATAATGAGGTTGCCATGAAAGTGTAGGGCGCGATGGTCCTCCTTCTTGCGGCAGTGGCTTGTATTCTATTAGCACGGTGACAATAGCGCGCCACCAGTCAACCGCAGTCACGATGGATCAAGTTTCGATGGACACTGTGTGACCTAATTGACGTTGAATATGATGCATATAGTAAAAAAGCATAATTGGGTTGTCGTATCAACCATTGACTCACATCGAAACATTAAGGATGTTGCGTTGCATCTTGACCCTCAGGCTTTGCATCGATGTCGCACTCAGCTCAACCATGACGCTATCGCAACGGTAGCGCACGCGCACCAGCGTATCTTTACGTGTGTTGTACAATGTACTTTGTTTCCTTCTCTCCCGGCAACATTGGTGGTTGAGATCGAGCGGTGTCCCATGATTTCGTTTTAAGACGGCGAGCGTATCACGGTGGCTAATGATGTTGGAGTTGGTGTGGGTGCAAGATTCAAGACACGTCGAAACCATTCGCGTTATGAACAAGTTTTCGTACAGTTGCCGGCTCCTTTCTAGGACGCTCATACTTGAGCCCCACGAGATCAGCTCGTTGCGTTATAAACCGCACTGGCGTGCTAGCGGGTAGAAACGGTCAGGGTTTGCTATTCACCAGCGACAAGGGCGACCCCTCTATGCTCCGCGTTGTGGGACAACATGGTGGAATACCGACTCGTAACTGCACTCACCGGGAAGTTCAAACGACACGCACGGTGGGGAGGTACATTTGGAGATCAGCTTTGAGCATCACGCCTGGAACATTCTCGACTTTGAGACATCTAAAGTCGTTGCTTCTAGGGTTGTGCTCTTTAACTAAGCATTCACCATGTCCCAATTCATAAGCGATTGGTTCGATGACAAGCGACAGCTAGATGGCATATCTAACCGCGTGGCAAGCTACCCCACTCCCCCACACAGCTACGCAACTCCCGAAGATGAAGACGCAGCGGAACTGGCAAACAATTACCCCATGGGACGGTGCGGACGAAGACGAGGATGGCGCACCCCTCGGTCCCTCGCGTGACACCTTGCTCAGTCACCCTATCTCGCGAAGTCGTCTCTGGCGACAACGTTGTGGAAGTTACCAGCGGGCAGTAACACAGTCCCATCCTCTCGGCCTTCAACTGATCGGCCTTCACACCGCCGTAAAACCCGCACTTGTCGCCATCAAACCCAAAACCCTGGTGTCAAGCCCTCTCTTGCCCTTATTAAAACGAATGGCGCACGTCAAGGCGCTAGAAGCAAGGGACACTTGGGTGCTCGTCGATCTCGTCGCACTGAAGGGGAGACGAGTCCTTTTAGGGAAATGGGTCTTCCGCGTCAAAACTGCCGCCTACAGGAACATTGAACGCTTCAAGGCAGATTGGGTCGTCCATGGCTTTGACCAACGAAATAGACTTGTCTTTGACCAAACATTCGCTCTGGTCAGCCGACACACTTCTGTCTTAATCCTTCTTGTCATTGTCGCCGCAAAACATCTTCCCATACACCAGATAGATATAAAAAACGCCTTCCTCTGTGGACGGGTTGACACACTCATCTTCGTCGAATAACCTCACACCTAAGGCGACGGCAATAACCGAGTGTGTCAACTCAAGAAATCCCTGTATGGCATGAAACAGGCACCACGGCTTTGGCAGCAGTATCTACATCGGGTTCTCTTTGGCACCGGCTTCGTCCAGCTTCCTCACGACCCGGCATGTATCGCCTTCACTTCCGCAGCGATTACGCACACCTCACGGTTTATGTGGTGACCTGCTATACATGGGTACAAGCAGCGATCTATTCGATCATCTCGAGAAAAACATCAGCAACCGTGTGGACATCACCAGCAAGCACACGATCACTCAGTTCAGGGACTCAACATAAGCCATTCACCTGTCCGCCTCCAAATATGCGGACACATACGCCACTGAATTCAACATTACACAAGCATCCATCTCAACCCCTTACCGCACACCCGCAACACCATACATAACCGACACCACACCTCTCAACCCAGCCGAACACGAACTCTACCAACAGCAGCTGGGATATTTTCTCTTCGCTACGGTCATCTGCAGGCCCGATCTCTCCTACATCGCCAGCCAGCTTACTCAATACTCCAAGCGACCTGAAGGGGAGAACATGCTGGATCTTCAGCAGGCTTTGCAGTACTTCGTCTCCACACCGCACATTGGCCTCACCTTTTCATGAATCAGGACTCGAACATTCAGCATTGTCGGCTACGTGGGCTCACGCAGCGGATCCGACCAATCTACAGTCACGAAATGGCTTCCTCTTCTAGTTCGAGCCCGCTGAACCAATCTCCTGAAACAAGAAGGTGGCGCTCTCCCCCGGTGAAGCCGAGTTCATCGCAACCACGTCAGCACCTCGCGAATGACTCTACCTTTAAGAACTGCTTCGTGAGACGAAAAATGCTGCATCCACGAATTTCAAACCTCACAATGACAACAAAAGCGCGATCAACATCGCAAACAAACCCGGCTTTGTCAAACACGGTGCTCGTGCAAAATTTTGAGATGTTTGGGATCTTGGACTGAGCTGAGAGGGTTGCATCGTCACATGGACGACGCGTGGATGAGAAAAAAAAAGCAAAATCTTCATATGAATAGCAGCGGTACCTGAACAGGAACGTCGAGTGGCACGCGCGGAAGAGAGAAGGAGCCGCAAATCCTTGCGCTCCAGTCTTGTTCCCCAACTCTCCGGCAGTGCACTTCAGTTCTGGCGTCAGCGCAGCACACGGGTCAGGCGCGGCTCTGGACTCGATCAAACGATCTACAGGGGCGTCGTCGCACGTTACTACGGGAGCAAGCGTCGACTCCGGCGCTGCGAGGGCTGGCGCCGCGGTAGCCCCCGCCGCTGCTCTGTTGGACTCCGCGGCGTAGAGTGCGGCGGCGGATTTTGGTGTTGAAACGTTTGTGTAGAGGGAGAAGGTTTGCGGGGCGGTTTTGTCAGAATCTTAGGAACAGGAATGGATGAACTAGCAGCAAGGTGGGTACAAGTACTAACCCTAATTGGGTTGTACCCTATATGGGCTACCCCACTACAGCCTACATAACATGCAAGATATAAGTTTGACACACCCCCATAGGCAAAGTGGGGGAGAACAAGAGGTCACAAGACCAGTCAAGAAAAGCAAAGCAAGCTCAGGGTGGATCACGAAGACACCACACACTCTGAGCACAAGCAAATGGCCACAAGGCCAGTTCACATGCAGAGTTATATAATGGAGAACAAACAGTACAGTGATCAACACCTAGCAAGTGTAAGCATGCAGGTATACGTATATAGATCACAGTACAAGCAAAGTCAAGAAGTGAGCAAGTGAGGCCAAGTAGGCACAAGGCCTAGAACAGTACAGAAAGGCTGATGATCACAAGGCTGAAGTGCCTTGGTGAAGATATCAGCAGTGTTGGCCCGAGAGGCCACGTAAGCAAGACGAAGCTGACCACGATGCTGCAACAATCGAGCAAGGAAGTAACGCAGAGCGATGTGCTTCGTCCTGTGCTCCAGTCTGTGCTCCTGACACAAGGCAATCATGGCCTTGTTGTCGACGTACAGAACTGGAGGAGAACGAGGCGGCTCTCCCAAGTCGATCAGCAGGTAGGTGAGCCAGCATAACTCCTGTGCAGCCATGGCCCCTGCGTAGATCTCAGCCTCACAACTGGAACTGAGAACAGAAGACGAGCGGGTAGACCGCCAAGAAACAGAGCCGGAGCCAAGGCTGAAAGTGTAACCCTGTGACGACCGCTGCGTAGCCAAGTCGTCAACCCAAGAGGCGTCTGCGTGTCCAGTGAGGACAACTCGACCCCGTCCTCCAAGCACGAGCCCCATGCACGACGTACTGCACAAGTAGCGCAACACCCTCTTAGCGGCCTCCCAGTGCTCTGGTCGGTGTCTCCCGGGCGCAACGTAGCGTGCCAGGATGCTAAGAGGGTAGGCAAGTGTTAGAATGTAGAACTGAACAAGAATGAATGAACTAGGCATCAGGGTGATACAAGTAGGAAACCCTAGCAATGTTGTACCCCCTAAGGCTAAACCCACTATAGCCTACACAATATACACATGTATGATGTTTGACACACCCCCATAGGCTAAGTGGGAGACAACCAGATGGTCACAAGACCAGTCAAAACAAAGCAAAGCAAAGCAAGCTCAGGGTGGATCTCAAGGAAACCACACAAATTCTGAGCACAAGCAAGCGATCACAAGACCAGTTCACATGCAGTTTGATAATATAACAAGAGGTACAGTGATCACAACCTAGCAAGTGTAAGCATGCAGGTATACATATATAGAGATCACAGTACAAGCAGAGTCAAGAAGTAAGCAAGTGAGGCACAGTAGGCACAAGGCCTAGAACAGTACAGAAACGCTGATGATCACAAGGCTGAAGCGCCTTGGTGAACACATCAGCAGTGTTGGCCCGAGTGGCCACGTAAGCAAGACGAAGCTGACCATGCTGCTGCAGCTCTCGAGCAAGGAAGTAGCGCAGAGCGATGTGCTTCGTTCTGTGCTCCAGTCTGTGCTCCTGACACAAGGCAATGGCGGCCTTGTTGTCGACGTACAGCACTGGAGGAGAACGAGGCCGCTCTCCCAGGTCGGTCAGCAGGTAGGTGAGCCAGCGTAACTCCTGTGCAGCCATGGCTGTGGCGTAGATCTCAGCCTCACAACTGGAGCTGAGAACTGAAGACGAGCGTGTAGAACGCCAAGAAACTGAACCAGAGCCAAGGCTGAAGGTGTAACCCTGAGACGACCGCTGCGTAGCCTGGTCGTCAACCCAAGAAGCGTCTGAGTGCCCAGTGAGGACAACGTCGCTCCGTCCTCCAAGCACAAGCCCCATGCCCGACGTACTGCACAAGTAGCGCAACACCCTCTTAGCGGCATCCATGTGCTCCTTTCGGTGACGGCCAGGAGCGACATAGCGTGCTAGGATGCTAAGAGGGTATGCAAGGTCAGGTCGAGTGCAGGTCATCAGGTACATGAGGCAGCCCACAAGCTCTGGATACGGGCCACTCGGCTCTACGGACTCATCCGAAGGCAGAGCTGAGAGCGAGTGACCGGTAGGCAGAGGAGTGGACTGAGGCGAGGAGTACGTGAAGCGGAAGCGCTGAAGGACCTGCTGCACCATGTGTGACTGAGTCAAGGTGATGGTGCGCTGTGCTCTGTCCCGGGTGATCCGCAAGCCAAGATAGCTTGTCAGCTCACCCAGGTCTATGCACGTGTGTCTCTTCTGCAGCTCCGACTTCACGTGGGCGAGTGCCTCAGTGTCAGCAGTAGCAAAGACCAAGTCGTCTACGTACACGAGAACGTAGAACGGCGGCAGAGTGGTGTCGGTGCGTAGAAACAGCGACGGGTCAGCAGTAGAAGGAGCAAACCCAAGAGCAGCAAGAGTAGTCCTCAGTGTGTCGTGCCACTCACGGGGTGCCTGGCGGAGACCGTAGACTGGCCGCCGGGGGCTCCACTGGGTACCAGCAGGGAACGACCCAGTGAAGCCAGGTGGGCGGCGCAGCCAGATCTCCTCGTGCAGGCTGCCCTGTAGGAAAGCAGTGCTGAAGTCAAGAGAGTGGAGCTCGTAGTCACGCTGAGCGGCGACGTGCAGCAGAACCCGAAGAGTGGTCATCTTCGGGGTCGGGGAGAAGGTCTGGAAGAAGTCAACTCCCTCTCGCTGACTGAAGCCTCGTGCAACGTAACGCGCCTTGAAGACAGGCGGAGAACCCGGCGGCCGCTTCACCCTGAAAATCCACATGCCACTGACGATGTTCGCCCCAGGTGGGGGAACCTCGTCGACGTAGGTGCCTGTGGACTTCCAAGAAGCCATCTCTGCGTCCATGGCTGTCTGCCACTGAGAGGAGTAGGGACCCTCTATCGCCTCTGCGTAAGAGCGCGGGGTCGGGATGTCTGGTGCATCCGGGTCTCCCTCAGGGGCAATCAGCATGGACACGAGATGAGGTAAAGCAGCGGCAAAGCACTCAAAACTCCTCCTGTCTGTCCTCAAGGACGTCCGTGCCAAGAGCACACTCACCCCCGACGGACGGAGGACAGACAGACTCAGACTCAGCAACAAGGCTAGCGGCGTAGTCTAGACGACAGGCGGCAGCAAAGTCAACAAGCTCAGCAGGTAGAGCAGACGCAGCAGTGGACTCAAAGGAAGGGTCAGTGACAACAGTAGCGAGAAGACGCGTGACAGTAGGACTGGCAGCACGAGCAAGGTGTGACGGCGGGTCAGCAACGTAAGGAAGAGAGGACGCAGGAGGAGACGGCAGAGGGACACGCTGTGGAGCAGTGGAAGGACGCAGAGTCATATAGTGAGTGCCAAGTACAGGAGGAGGACGCTGACGCGGAGCACGACGACCAGTGTGGACAGTGCGGACAGGCGACTCTGGACGAGACTCAGGTGACTCAGGACGAGACTCAGGCGACGCAGGACGCGACTCAGGCTCACGACGCTCCGTAAGACCTCTAGTCGGCCCAGCGTAGGGAGAAGGACCAGGCAGTGGAGAGGCAAGCGGTAACTGTGACTGCGACTGGACAGGTGGTGGACTCAGTAGGGGAGGAGAAGGACCAGTGGAGGGCGAGAGGCCAAGAACCTGCTGAAGGAGCGGAACGTAGTACGGCCGCGGCCGCTCAGCACCTCCTGAACCAGCAGAGACAGCACCAGCACCCTCAGCCCCAGGGTCTCCAGCACCAACTCCCACAGCACCACCAGCAACCCCAGCAGCTCCAGTACCTCCAGCTCCAACCCCCGCAGCAGATCCAGTACCTCCAGTACGAGCACCTCCAGAACCACCGGCTCTAGCAGCTCCAGCACCAGCAGTACCTCTAGTAGCTCCAGCACCAGCAGCGCCTCCAGCAGCTCCAGCACCAGTAGCGTCTCCAGCAGCTCCAGCTCCAGCAGCACCTCCAGCAGCACCACCAGCAGCTCCTGCTCCAGCAGCACCAGCACCAGCACCAGCACCAGCTCCAGCTCCAGGGTCCGCGGCACCAGCCGCAGCTCCAGCTCCAGGGTCCGCGGCACCAGCAGCGGCTCCAGCTCCAGGGTCCTCAGCACCAGCAGCAGCTCCAACTCCAGGGTCGGCGGCACCAGCAGCACCACTCCGGAGACTGCAGCGCCGAGCGTACCACTCTCGGAGCCGCTGGGGAGAGGGCGGCTCCCGCCTAGGCGGGGAACCACGAGCACCAGCTCCAGCAGCACCCCTAGCCCCAGAAGCGCCCCTCCTGAGGCTGCAGTACCGCGAGTACCACTCACGCAGCTGCTGGGAAGAGGGAGCGCCTCCAGGCGCAGCAAGGTCAGTCGCAGCACCCCCAGGCTCAGTACCCTCAGACGTAGCACTCTCAGGCTCTGCACCCCCAGGCTCAGCACCCCCAGACTCAGCACCCCCTGGCTCCGCACGCTCAGGCTCAGCACCCCCAGGCTCCGCACCCCCAGGCTCAGCACCCCCAGGCTCCGCACCCCCAGGCTCAGCACCCCCAGGCTCCGCACCCCCAGGCTCAGCACCCCTAGCAGGACGAGAGTCGACAGCTACCTCGACAGGCTCAACCGGGTCTACCTGGGACACACCTGAGGGAGCGGCACCCTGAGGGGGGAGGGGGTCTACCACAGCAGCACCTGGTGCGAGGAAGAGAGGCGGGGGGGGGAGCGGGGCAGTGCGGTAGGGGAAGAGGCGGTAGTAGGGGACCGACTCGTCGAAAGTGACGTCTTGAGAGGGCAGGACACGGCGCGAGGTGGCGTGGTAAAACTGCCAACCAGATGCGTCCGGGACAAAGCCAAGGAAGACACAAGGAACAGCGCGGGAGGAGAGCTTGTCCGCGGACGTATCGCGGACAAAAGCACGAGATCCCCAGACCCGGAACACCGACGCATCGCCAACCTTTCCCGTCCAACGCAGTGTCGGCGAAGTCTCCGGAACGGAGACACGGGGCCAGAGGTTGAGCTGATGCGCAGCGTATCGGACCGCAAACGGCCACAGAAAGTGGGGGGCAGCCGCATGGATCAAGGAGGTACGAGCGACCTCCATGACCAAGCCAATGCGGCGCTCAGCAACCCCATTCTGCTGTGGAGAGGCCGGAAACGTGAACGACTGCTCAATGCCCTCCCCCTGACAGAAGGCCCTCAAGAGGTCGGAGGAAAACTCCCCACCTCTGTCAGAGTGTAGACGCAGGACAGGAAAGTCCGAGTGGAACCTCTCGCTGAGCTGGAGACGGGCAGCACGGATCCAAGGGATCAAAACATCAGGGACTTCACCCTTGGTGCGCAAGGGGAAGACCGTGGTGTAGCGCGAGTAGTCGTCAACAACGATCAGGAAGTACCTCTTGTGACCCTGTCCACGGACGCGGGCTGGGCCCCACATGTCCATGTGGAGGGTCTGCAGGGGAGCAGTCGTCGGGGGAAACGAGGAGGAGTGAGGAGCGGCGCGCTGCCGCCCCTCGACACAGGGAAGACAGGGAGGAGCAGGCGAGGGTGGGAGGGGAGGGAGAACCCTGGGAAGACCAGAGACAAGGTACCGGGAGTGCATGCCACGAAGGCGCTGCACTGACGGGTGACCAAGGCGGTGGTGCCAGAGGACGGTCTCGTGCGCCAGGGAGCGACACGAGCAGTGTGAGAGTACGACGGCTTATGCTGGCTTTGCTAGCTTGCCTGGACTTTATTATGCTATATCTAGCTTGGGTTTATTTTATCATGCATAGATATGCTTGATTTCCTAGGTTAGGTGCATTCCTATATGTTATTATAGTTATAGCACCGAACCAGGTTACGTGTACCGAACTCAAGCCTATTCGGTTTCCACCGAATTGCTTTCTACTGAGTTCGGGAAGGTTCTGTTCGGGACGCTTCGTGACCCTCAGAACATTCGCGTAACACCTGGGTTACCTGCCTTGTGTCGAGCCTATATATAGCCTCGTGTTGTACCCAGGTGAATCATTCAATTCAAACCCACTTTTCTGAGCTCGATCCTAGATCCTCACAAGCAGGGGGCCGACAGCTAACCTGACGCAGACGCAGACGCAGCTACCTGAGGGGACTCAGTGGTCAGTGTGTACAGGTCCGACCCAGGCTGCCGAGTGAAGGTAGCTAGGTGGCGACCCGTCCGAGCACACGTGCAGTGTGTCACGCGCTCGTAGGCAGGGGTGAACTGGTGGACACCCCCATCCTGGAGCGCACGACCCGCCACCAAGTTCGTAGAGAACGAGGGGAGGTAGAGACCTGACAGTGTGCCCGACGGGACCGCAGGACAAGGGAGGACATTGGAGGAGGTCGCAATGACCGGACCCCCAGAGGGGTCAGCAAGGGAGACTGCAACCGGCCGAGCAAGCTGCTCAAGGGCAGTGCGGTCACGAAAGAAACAGCGGGAAGCACCTGAGTCCAGTGTGAAGGTGTGCAGTGCCTCAGTAGACGCAGTACCAGAGGGCGCAGACTCACGAGTACCTAGAGCAGCAGCCTCACCAGCACCTGGGGCAACAGACACACTAGCACCTAGAGCGGCAGCCTCACCAGCACCTGAGGCAACAGACACACGAGCACCTAGTGCGGCAGCCTCACCAGTATCTAGAGCAGCAGACTGGATACCGGGGTCAGGCGGCACACTCAGGTGACAGGCACCCTCAGCACTAGTAGACAATGCATACATGGCAGTGAGGAGAGCATCATAGTCAAGAGCAAAGATATCTACCCTCTGCCTAAGCAGCTCCAGCCAGGAGGGGAGCTCAGCATCGTCGCCAAACTCTGTACGCCAAGCGTCGCTCAGACGGGCGAAGCAGCGGGACTCTGTGTGACTAGGTGTCCCGCAAGGCTGACCAGTCCGGACACCTGTGCGAATGACGTACGGGCAGCGAGCAGGACTCAGTGACCCGCTACTCTGAGCGTACCACTCACGAAGCTGCTGGGGCGAAAGAGCCTCGCGGGGACGACGCTGCATCTGCACCTGGCCACTACCAGAAGCTCCCGAACGACCCACTCCAGAGCGACTCCCACTACGGCCACCCCAACAGCCCCAACTAGCGTACCACTCACGAAGCTGCTGGGGCGAAAGAGCCTCGCGGGGACGACGCTGCAGCTGCACCTGTCCACTTCCAGAAGCTCCCAAACTACCCACTCCAGAGCAACTCCCACTACGGGCACCCCGACAGCCCCAACTAGTGTACCACTCACGAAGCTGCTGGGGCGTGAGGGACTCACGCGCACGGCCCTGGAGCTGCATCTGGCCACGCCAGGAGCAGCAGTAGCAGCAGTAGCGGCAGTAACAGCAGTAGCAGCAGGAGCAGTAGCAGTGGGAGCAGTAAAATGCAGTAGCAGCAGTAGCAGCGGTAGCAACGCGGGCAGGGCAGTGCTCACCAGTGGTAGGAAGGGCAGGCGCAAGACGGTGGCGACAGCGGGGCCGCTACAGCTGCAGGGCGGGGCCGGGCCGCGGCAGGGAGCTCCGCGGCAGCTGCTGCAGGGCGGGGCCGGGCCGCGACGGCACCTGCTCCAGGGGCCAGGGGCGGCTGCTGCAGGGGCGGCTGCTCCAGGGGCCAGGGGCGGCTCCTGCAGTGGCGGCTGCTCCAGGTGGCCAGGGGCGGCTGCTGCAGGGGCGGCTGCTCCAGGGTCCAGGGGCGGCTGTAGGTGCGGCTGCTCCAGGGTCCAGGGGCGGCTGTAGGTGCGGCTGCTCCAGGGGCCAGGGGCGGCTGCTGCAGTGGCGGCTGCTCCAGAGGCCAGGGGCGGCCGTCCCAAGGGCGGGCGCGGGGTAGGGCAGGGCGCCGCGGCGAGCAGGGGCGACTCCGCGCTGGTCCCAGTGGCGACGCGCGGGTCGCGCGAGGGCGTCGCAACGAGGCAGGGGCGACGCGCGCGGGTCCCGCAGAAGCGTCGCGACGAGGCGGGGGCGACGCGCGGGTCCCGCAGGGTCGTCGCGACGAGGCAGGGGCGACGCGCGGGTCCCGCAGAGGCGTCGCGACGAGGCAGGGGCGACGCGCGGGTCCCGTAGGGGCGTCGCGACGAGGCAGGGGCGACGCCCGGGTCCCGCAGAGGCGTCGCGACGAGTAGGGCGACGCGTCGCGGGGTCCAGGGGCCGCGCCTCGGGGTCCAGGGGCGGCTGCGCGGGTGCAGAGCAGGCCCGCGCGCGGCCTGAAGGGCAGGGCGGCAGGGTGGCGCTCGAGGGCGCGGGTAGGCAGGCGCTCAAGGGCGCGAGTAGGCAGGCGCTCGAGGGCGCGGGTAGGCAGGCGCTCGACGGCGCGGGTAGGCAGGCGGACGGCACACGGGGCTGCACGGGGCCGCGAGGGGCTGCGTCTGAGGCTAGTGGGCAGCGCGCAACTAGCAACAGGGCGCACGACGGCGCTAGAAGGGGCACTCGACGGCGCGGGTAGGGGCGCACGACGGCGCGAGGTACTATCAGACACGGTCGCGCAAGGGCACGGCGGAACGGTGGGCCCTAACCAACGTCGGTCCTAGGTCCTGACCTAGGCGTCGGATACCATGTTAGAATGTAGAACTGAACGAGAATGAATGAACTAGGCATCAGGGTGATACAAGTAGGAAACCCTAGCAATGTTGTACCCCCTAAGGCTAAACCCACTATAGCCTACACAATATACACATGTATGATGTTTGACAGCAAGGTCAGGTCGAGTGCAGGTCATCAGGTACATGAGGCAGCCCACAAGCTCTGGATACGGGCCACTCGGCTCTACATACTCGTCCGAAGGTGGAGATGAGAGCGAGTGACCGGTAGGCAGAGGAGTGGACTGTGACGAGGAGTACGTGAAGCGGAAGCGCTGAAGGACCTGGTGCACCATGTGTGACTGAGTCAAGGTAATGGTGCGCCGTGCTCTGTCCCGGGTGATCTGCAAGCCAAGATAGCTACGCAGCTCACCCAGGTCTGTGCACGTGTGTCTCTTCTGCAGCTCCGACTTCACTAGGGCCAGTCCCTCGGTGTCAGCAGTGGCAAAGACCAAGTCGTCGACGTACACAAGGACGTAGAACGGCAGCAGCGAAGTGTCGGTGCGTAGAAACAGCGACAGGTCAGCAGTCGAAGGAGCAAACCCAAGAGCCACAAGCGTCGTCCTCAGTGTATCGTACCACTCGCGAGGCGCCTGGCGGAGACCGTAGACTGGCCGCCGGAGGCTCCACTGGGTACCAGGAGGAAACGACCCAGTGAAGCCAGGTGGGCGGCGCAGCCAGATGTCCTCGTGCAGGCTGCCCTGTAAGAAAGCTGTGCTGAAGTCAAGAGAGTGAAGCTCGTAGTCACGCTGAGCGGCGACGTGCAGCAGCACCCGAAGAGTGGTCATCTTCGGGGTAGGGGAGAAGGTCTGAAAGAAGTCAACTCCCTGTCGCTGACTGAAGCCTCGTGCAACGTAACGTGCCTTGAAGACAGGCGGAGAACCTGGCGGCCGCTTCACCCTGAAAATCCACATGCCATCGACTATGTTCGCCCAGGAGGGGGAACCTCGTCGACGTAAGTGCCTGTGGACTTCCAAGATGCCATCTCTGCGTCCATGGCTGTCTGCCACTGAGAGGAGTAGGGACCCGTAATCGCCTCTGCGTAAGAGCGCGGGGTCGGGATGTCTGGTGCATCCGGGTCTCCCTCGGGTGCAATCAGCATGGACACGAGATGAGGTACAGCAGCTGCAAAACACTCAAAGTCCTCCTGCCTGTCCTCAAAGACGTCCGTGCCAAGAGCACACTCACCCCCGACGGACGGAGGACAGACAGACTCAGACTCAGCAACAAGACTGGCGGCGTAGTCGAGGCGACAGGCGGCAGCAAATTCAACAAGCTCAGCAACTAGGGCAGACACAGCAGTGGACTCAAACGAAGGGTCAGTGACAACAGTGGCTAGAAGACGTGTGACAGTAGGACTGGCAGCGCGAGCAAGGTCGGACGGCGGGTCAGGAACGTCAGGAAGAGAGGACGCAGGAGGGGATGGCAGAGGGACACGCAGAGGAACAGAGGAAGGACGAAGTGCCATCTGGTGCGCGCCGGGGACAGGAGGAGGACGCTGACGCGGAACACGACGACCAGTGCGAACAGCGCGAATAGGCGACGCAGGACGAGACGCAGGCTCACGACGCTCTGTAAGACCTCCTGTCAGCTCAGTGTAAGGAGAGGGAGCAGGCAGTGGGGAGGCTGGCTGTAACTGCGGCTGCGACTGGTCAGGCGGTGGACACAGTAAGGGAGGAGTAAGGCCAGTAGAAGGCGGGAGACCAAGAACCTGCTGAAGCAGTGGAACGAAGTACGATCGCGGCCGCACAGTGCCTCCAGAACCAGCACCGACAGCACCAGCACCTCCAGCTCCAGGGTCTCCAGCTCCAGGGTCTCCAGCTCCAACGCCTGCAGCACCACTAGCTCCAGCAGCTCCAGTACCTCCAGTACGAGCACCTCCGGGACCAGCGTCTCCAGCACCTCGAGCAGCTCCAGCTCCAGGGTCTCCAGCTCCAACGCCTGCAGCACCACCGGCTCCAGCAGCTCCAGTACCTCCAGTACGAGCACCTCCGGGACCAGCGGCTCCAGCACCTCCAGCAGCTCCAGCTCCAGCGCCTCCAGCTC